AAGTCGCCTCTTCCACTTGCTCACTGCGGATACGCCAACACCATGTGCTCGACGTTTTGCAATGGATATCCACATTGATAACTTGGCTTTTATACTCCGGGTACTTTTCTTCTGCTCAGGTAAGAATTGAGTCCAATAAGCTCGCTTCTTAGCTGAATGGCGACACTGCTTTGGGCCCTGGTTAGGTTACGGTGGGTTTTTAATGGTGTATCTTTGAACTTCATTTTGGTGTTGCCTGTTTGTTCATCAGTAAATATATTTGCCGCTTTCCAATATTCTGGATCGGCTGATCCAGGTCGGCCAGGGCGCTGTTTCCTGTTCTGGCTTGTCCATGAATCCTTCCACTCTTGAAAGGTCGCTATCTTTCCAGCTTCTTTCTGCCTTCCCTTATCCTTTTCTCTTCCGCAAGTTCTTGTACATTCGGCGATATCTTTACTCATATTCAACGCATGCAGAGTTTGTCTCCCGCTTGTGGGCAGCTTTATCCTCTTACATGTCGATCGGATTGTCTCTTGAACTGGGAGTTTAGCTGATAGTCCGGCGTGATGGACCCTCCTTAGTTTTAGGTATATCTCTGTAGGGAGAACGTTTGCAAATAAGTTTATTAAAGATAGATTCCCGACGCTTTGGTGATCCCAAACTCCCAGTGATCTGCCAACATTCAGCCACTCAATTATCACAAGGTAGCATTTCTTAGCCACTGCGTTTCAGATATCACTAAGCATAGTGTCGCCCAGCTAAGCTTAACCATATGCAATCGAATCAATATAACTGATCTTGATGATCATACCTAGAGATCTAAACCTTCATTCATACTAAGTCTAGATTTCCAACAATGATTCTGTCGGAATGATTCATCTAGATGGAGTTATTTGGAGTCGATGGTTATTGCATTGCACTGGCTAGATATCCTGATTAGTGGATTCTGAAATTCAGATAAAGCATTATCCGAATGTAGACTAGATAGTAGCTCAATTGCATTAACTAAGAGGAACACGGATTATCCATGAATGTGCATTTCTTCTGAACGATAGTTCGAAAAACTTACACAAGTGCTCTCATAACTTTAAGTGAACTTATAGAATTTTAGTGTATGCCCTTTATCATACCAACAGATGCAAACGATGGCGGAGGAATACATGTAAGAATTTATGATGTTTAATAAAGCGACCATCCTTCTTATTGCCGATTGAAATATCCACACGCTGAACTACGGCCCGTCATTCGCTTTCCTTAATTGATTGTCGTTCGAAGATTGATAAATTTCAGCAATAATTTGTCTTTCTGTACTTGTAGTTATTTTGATCGATAAAAAAGACCGATTTGATCCAAAAACTGTTGTAATCATGTCCTAAGTCTGGCGGTGTAGTTTATCGTAGTTAGGGAGAATATTGTGGAATGTGGTAGTGGCTCGTTACATATACGATTGCGATAACACTATTGAGGATTGCATGTAGTATTAGCGCTTCTATATCTCGGCTGAATGGAGGTTAATTCAACACTTGAAAGGAATTTTATTGTTATTTCTAGCCAACAATAAAGTGCTGAAGCTCTATGTGTGCCCGGCGGGGACGAACCTCAACACCTGTCAGTGGTGTCACCTATGAATCTCCGACTCTCACTGTAGAGTCAGCAGAGCCGAGATTAGGTGACAAATTCCTCACTTCAACGAGGATTCCCAATCGCTTTCGTGGTCTATATTGTTAGACGTTAGGAAGTATCTAAGGTTTATTGGGTGTACGGATCATATTTAGTGATATCAAGTCCAATAATACAGTACTCTAAATTAGCTAGTTGAACGAACGGTCCACTTAGAGAAGATATAACCTCAGTGAACCGATGCTCGAAAAGAAAATCAAGTTGTTTCTACCGAGTTGTTCATACCCGTAAATTCTCTTCACCTGCTGCAGGACAAGTTCCTCAGTTTTCTGATATATATTGTCATCATCTCTAAACACATACCCCTATCACCATTATCATGAAGCTAACCACGATCAGATCAGATGGTAGGGTCGGAGCCCTACTCATAACCAACCCTTGATCATGGAGGAAAAGCCATCCGATGAGTTTCCGGAGCGTGCCCAGCACCCGATACGGAGATGGCGGATTGGATCAAGTCGACCTCAATCGTTACAAAGAAGGGAGATATAGACGAATATGCGCACGTCATGTGGTCCCGGTGTCTAGACCTCGCCTGGCTGGGGCTGCAGGTTTTTTTGAGACTTTTTCCCGCGCTCGCAATTTCCATTGCTACCTTTTTTTTTTTGCGTCGAAGGTTCCGTGGTAGAATTGGCCGAATTCCACGGGTATATACTGAGCTGAATGGCTATTTATCACGGGTAATATATCAATGATCTTTCGAGTAACAGAAGAGGCATGGAGCACTGTGCGAGTTGTGGCCTGGCTCAGAGATAAGCCCAACATGTTCAATAGTCTATGACTCAAGTACAAAAAACACCTCTCTTTCTCTAACGTCGAAATTGAGACTAAATCCCAAGACATATTGAGCCTTTTGAAGCGTACTAAAAGGCCGGCCTGCTGGGCGCTGCAGACTTGTGGGTGCCTCGGGAAATCCACACTCTTTTCGATTCTTTCCCAAAATCGTACTGAAATGTCACAAATTGCTTGACGGAGAATGATTGTTGTATGGTAGCTTAGCCCAACTTCCTTTGTGCCGTCCAGGGCTCTGGTGAGTGCTGTTGACTCATCGACAGCAGAAGTCCTCCTGCCTTGATTGGTCAAATCTCAGTCTTGGGGCCAAAAGATTTTCCAAAGTTGGAAAATTATTCAAAAGTTATAAGTCTCAAAATACCCGTTAGAGACCTCTTCCTTCTATCGTCCCACATTCCAGCTATCTATTCTCCCACAATATGTCGCCTGATTAGAGCCACAGTCCACTCAAAGCCACATCTCAAGCTTTGAGTATTGTGATTTAGCTCCTTCCTTGCAGTTAATCGTATTATCATAATTTCGTTATAGTGTTGACCGGTGATAGAAGAGGCAAGCTCCGGTTTGCAATGGAAATAAGTACTTGATAAGTCGATGAGACGAGGTGATCTATGGTCAGACAGAGATTGAGGACTATTGTGAGGATGGTGGGACTAACATTCATGAAAAGTTGTCGATTAGAGAAATTTTCACGTTTGCTTTCGACTTTGATTTAGTTGCGATTGTTCTCGACTATCCCAGGTTTGTAGAGAATACTGAGCGATTTCACCGACATCGCTGGAAGGAAAGCAGATTGTTTTTGCTGGCCTTATGCTTTCTAATGCTTAACATATTGAAATAAGACCTACTCGAGCTCTAGATTTCATAAGCAAATTTGTCGATCAAGTACTTTGATTCAGATAATGAGCAGCCGCTTGTATCGCTAAGGCATGTAAAACAAACAAGCCTGCTGATTTTCGAGTAAAAGAGTCTACTGTTGGTCTCGTCGACGACATGACTTGTGATGTCTCGCTGCGGTTGAACATGGGATCAATTGTGTCAAATGGAACTAGCTTCCCCAGCTTTTCAAGCGCGATGTGCATGTCCGGCCCGGCCCGTATGTGTGGATCATCCGACCTCTGCGCCTACTACGCCACAAGTCTCACACTGATGCACTCGTCCTGATATTCCTTCGCCTACAATGACGTCTCTATTCAATGAACTTGAGACCATTATGAGCCCTAGCTACTCGTGTCGACACAGAGCATTTGGGCTGCCTGACAGAGACTTGATCCTAGCACAGTGGTCTGAGAATACAGTTAGAGCACATACATCGCCCCAAACTGTTAGAGAGGTACGAACTGTGCAAATACGCTGCTTACGTACATAAAAATTAGGTCAAATCCTGTGCGAGTAACCAGCTTGTCAGGCTACCTTTCTATTGGCAGCAAAGAATAGTCCGAGTAGCAGTAAATTCAAGACGTAATGCAGATTTCCATCACCAAAACTCAGGGGTATCTTAGTATCCTTTGCCTGGGGTGGATGGAGAAGAGATGATACCCTGAGACGAGTGGTTGCCTCGTCGCTCGCAGCCATGATTGAATTTATTGAAGCAGCGGCCCTGATCTCGAAGGATATTCAAAGTTTCGTATTACTCGAAAGTTATAACGGAGTGCTGCCACTTTACTTGTGCGGCAGGAGGCATAGAATAAAAACTACAAATCACAGCGTCGGTACCATTACTGGTTACGCATTCTGATTTCTGTCTGAGTAGGTTGTGTACGTGAACTGTCGCGCTAAACAAGAGAGTTCGTCACTATCCATGAAGAAATTCACAAGACGCTCTTAATGGGAAATTGTAGTTGGGATCCAATTAATAACAGCGCGTCAATAACACAACTTGTAGTTGAGTACCAATGTTATCTTTGTCACACTCGTCAACGCTCAAGAAAGTGCATTGGAATGATAAACTGCCAGAACGTTTTACGATTGATGACTCATGAAAATACGAGAAAATATGTCTAAAAATATATTCGATCTTGATAACGATTTCGATAACGATTTCAGTTTACGCATAAGGGTTCATAGATACGTATTTGAAGCAACAGGGCGCCAGCCACACCTAGTATGTCATGATATCGTTTGATCTTATCATCTTATCATCTTATCATTTTATCAGAGCATCATCGCCACTCGTTCGCCAAGTCCTGCCCGTCGTATTTCGAACTTTCTGACCCGACGCAGCCAGGACCTTAGCCACAATACTGGGCTACAGTGACTTGGTCAGTCATTGACAGAGTATACATCCAAAACAGCCGTCGTCTGGATCAAAAAGATACCCAAGCTACCATTACTCCAGGAAAATGATCCCTCTAATCCCTCGTTTGGTCTATTCACTAGAGAATGGGAGACTCGGTATAAGAATAATCGGTTATCCTTCTATGTCCAACAAACTATTCATTTCGCGCCGAAAGTTCTCAAACCCCTATTAATAAATACACAATAATAAATTTTAATTAATAACCTATCCAACAACTCTCTTGCTAGTCAAGTCTCGACCAAATACCTAGAAAATGAATACCCGATTATTGCTTGCTGGTCTTGCTGCCATTCACCTTGCTGCTGGTTACAGCATATCTTTCAGGCAATTCAAGGTGGCCAGAGCCGTCCAAAACATACAAGGCGATGACACTGTCACTAACAGTAAATCCATGACCCATTCAATCTAACGTATGGTATTATGAGGCTAAGAGTGCTACAGCGAGTGGTTCTGATATATGCGGTGGCTCAGTCCCCAGTTCGAATGAAGTCAAATCTTTGCTTTTCACAAGAGATGGTGCTGCTGCCTGTAATAATGCCGAAAATCGCAAAGATATTAATAATACAGACAATATTGATGCAACCGATCGTGACTACCAGATGCTTCAGGTTTCTAAGCTTCTTGTCGGTCCCAATGATTCATCCGTAATTGTTGATAGCCATACGATCATGATGACAGTTAAGGGCAACGAAAACGGAGTCGGCTCACATAAATGCAAGATTGATTCAACTGGTACCGGCGCGGGAAGCTGGACTGAAATGGAAGTTACCTCCAATTCCACTGATAAAATCTCTCTAGATGGAGTAGCTGATGTCGTAAGTATTCGAGTTGGAATAGATGCAGGATCTGAGCTGATCGGATTGTTCTAGGAAATCCGAGCTGTTATTGATCCCAACCAGAAGTGTACCGGGAGACTTGACGACAAGGAGAATGTGTGCATGGTCAAGTGCAGCGACGCTGCCAATCCTTGGTTGCTTGAGAAATTTGTTTACGTGCAGAAAGTAGGCGAACAAAATACACCCACGCCGACTGATCCAAACAGTGACATTCAGGCTCGGGCTACAGCGGCTTTTAGTCCCAAAATGTCGAATTTAGTGGCGGCATCCGCGTTTACAATGGCAGCACGGCCAAGCCACAAGTCAAAGGCTAGCAAATGAAGCAAATTTTGCAAATTTTGCATCTTAAATAATTCAAGAGGAATCTAAGAAAGATTTGTTTTGAGTGTCATGTGCTTTAATATGTGTTACTGGTTTTTTAGCTATACAAGCGAGAGAAAATAAGTTTTTGCGGCATCGGTATGTGGAACTTATGATTCTCTATTTTCTCACCTTATACGGGTGTTTTAATTAAGGAAGGAACATGACTGCTTTATAATAAACTGTTCAAATTAAATAATGTGTACAAAGGCCATGAGATATGAGTGACCTAGATCATCACTCATTGGTATGACATATTATTTTTCAATAATTTGCTAATGGTATCTATTGGATCAGAGATGTCTAACATTCTTTATTTTTCGGGTAGACAAGGGGATATGTCGGAACACCGACTAGTGTGTAGATACCCCTCTATTCATGTATATAGAGAAAGGTCCTGTCATATAAATAATATATGTAATTCCACAATAATAAACTTTGTTAAATTATAAGATTTTTGGACAAACATAATCATTCTCGTACCTGAACATAATGGAGTTATGGCTGTATTTATTATTTACTTAGGAGTATAGAGGATGAGGCGTTTGGAGATCATCAATATCCTGTATTAGTAGTTCCGAATTAGCGCATAGACGAGGCTGGCAGACACATACCAATAGGAGTATTGTCGTAGCATTGAAGGACGTAGCGATCGCGAGAATCATACACGATAGTTTAACAAAATACTTTATGAATTCGACTTCCAGTACTTACGTACTACTCTAATAAAAGAATCTTATTCTGAAATATTTGAATAATCTACACATTACTTATATACTTGAGGATACTCGGAAATATCAACGAGTACTTTCATTGAACAAAGTTCGAATCGTATAACTCACGAACTAAACTTCTATTTAAGCAAAAGCCGCCCCCTTCCATACCTTCATCCTAAGGGTATATTATTCTAGCTCAGCATAGTCCTTCATTAACGGGAACTTGAACAGGGCCTTGTATGGTAAGGCGACGCAAGTTTGTAGTGATGATAATGGTTTTCGCCCAAACTTAATGGTGACGAGAAGTCCTAGATTCTAGTGAAATCTAATAAATTTTGCAGCACGTTTGAGTGGCCTTGCCAAGCAGGGGAGTAGGGAGAGATTCCGTGTTCACGTAGGCGATTAATTGCTGGTTTATGGACATGATGAAACACAAGAAAATGTGGTAACGATTTCGGATAGAATCTAAGACTGTGAATGAAAAGAATCGTATTGAGCGGCTGGAAATTTTGGTTGAGTGATCCCAAAAGGAGGGAGGATGGAAAGTGTTGTTATTTAGTGTATTGTAATCTTTTTTTTTGTATCAGACAATAATAGTGTATGCAGCTATTTAGCTTTGACACAATATCAGAGAAAAGTGCATAACGGATGACTCATTATATGGGAGGAGCACTCATTCCTCGGATTTTATTTGCAAGTACCACTTCGAAGTTATGGCAGCTTTTTACTCACCCCAAGTCAGCCCTCATCCGTGAATACCCATCCAGGGGAACATTTCAAAAACTCTGAGTTATCCAGACATGCATCCATCATCTTTCAACCTTTCTCCGCGCAAAATACGGTCTTAGGCGTCTTCTTCCCAAGTGGAGTAGGTGTCTAGGCTACTCAAACCATACCGGACGACACCACTAGGAGGCGGACCGCAGCAACTTCAATTGTTGACTTGTGTTTATAGTGTCAGCTGCACTATTACAATCGAAGTCTTAGCACGCGCACAAAGCTCATTTCGTGAAAATCCTTCCCAAAATTCGGAATTTCACGCCCTTCGAGGTTATATCTTTTTGCATCATCTTGTGAACTTGTCCTCCTCCTTCTCACGTCCATCTCAAAGAGTTGTCTCCCAGATTTGTGCGCCATGGTTTGCTTCCCCCGTCGGGTACAGATATCGGCGTGGGCGTGTATTTGGCAACCAGCTAAGGCAGGAGAAAGTCGATGAGAGGTCTGATCATGGGGATGAGGATGTACTAGGTCTTATTTGTAGATTTGATGAGGCTTAGGTAGGATTCAATCTTTTTGGGATCGAAAAACTGATATGGTAGAGTAATTTGAATCACTGCCACGTGGGCCATCTTCATTGATATTGCGAAATTTGACTGAACTTGGCACGGGGAGAAGATTTCACTCCCAGGTTCGTAGAGGACATCGCGTACAGGTGTTCAGTCTTGCCTTCCTCCAACTGGTTTCGAACCACTTTCTCCTGTCTCAAATGGGGGAGGTGTTCAATCTACCCAGATTCTGCTTGGGAGAAATGCCTGAATGGTGTACCACTGCACCATCCAGCCTTAATAAAAGGGTGCACATGGTAATTTTTAATTGACCCAACACAGAATAGTGTTTTCAAACTTAATTTGAGAGTGCAACTATAGCTCAATTCAAGGGCACTCGGTCAGATATGATCATACAACAGCGGTTGCCTATTATACTTGTCTGCTGTCAATATAGTGAAATAAGGGATAGAATTTTCGAATTTGATTACATTTAACCCTATCAGGCATCTGTGGGCCCACGCAGGTGACTATCTTCATTATTTACAAAGAAATCAATTTGGCGAAAGGTCCCTGATACTTCCTGTTTAAGTGCTATTAAATTTTTAAGTTAACCTTCAGGAAGTGCAGTGTACACTGTTCAGCCCGTGTGGATTTCGTTCTCCCCCCTTCCAGATCTATTTACTTTATCCGACATTGCTACCTCGATTTCCCCTGCAAGTCGAAACTGTTTTGGCCATCCTTTGCTTAGTATCCACTATGTGATTCTAGCTACATCTTCTGGGCTGTTCATCATTGCTTCAGATGACCTGTCTTAAGCTGGTCGGGGAAAGTCGCCTCTTCCACTTGCCCACTGCGGACACGCCAACACCATGTGCTTGACGTTTTGCGACGGACATCCACATTGACAGCTTGGCTTTTCTACTCCGGGTACTTTTCTTCTATGTAGATAAGAATTGAGTCCGATATGCTGGCTTCTTTGCTGAGCAGCGATACTGCTTTGGCCCCTACTTTGTTTACGCTGGGTTTTCAATGGCGTACGTCTGAAGTTCATTTTGATACTGCCTGTTTGTGCATCAATTACTATATTTACGGATTTCCAAGGAATAAGGGATAGAGGAGAGTAGTCTTTCAAATGTTGTACCGAGCGAGTGAGTGAGTGTTTATGGTCCTGAAAAGTCTATAACTATGTAAGGACATGTAGGTCCTTTTGTTGATGGAGAAAGAGGATCACTTATGACAAAGCAGAGAAGTGTGAACTGATTACTTGGTTATGTACGATCAAATGTTAATCGCAAGCATCAAAAAAGATAGAAGTTAAGTATATAGGTCGAAAAATCCTCAAAAATACAAGAAGCAATAACTTACGCTATGTGCTCTCGTCATAGAAGTGGAGCCACGCTAGTACACATCCATATAACTCTTACTGAGGAAACCAAACTAGTGTGTAGATAGTGAATATAGGGATTGCGTTGGGAACTTGTTACGTAATGAAGGTAATCATTACTAATAATATTATACTTCATTTCCAACACCTTTCTGCCTACAGGCCGGGAGTATCTATGCGTCGGGTAGTGTACTCCCTCCTTTGCCTCCTTCACGACTTCTTTCCAGCAGTAATACCCCCACAGGTCTCCATCCGATTACACACTAATAGGAGCCCTTATCCCGTCATTATCTCCCATCTCCAGCCAACGAAACGATGGCCATTTGCGGGTGTGTAGCTGCAGGGAAAAGTTTCAAAAACCACTAGTTGCGGGGCACTCCTATGACGAAGAGGCCGGCCAACCGGGTGCAGCAGACCTGTGTATACCTAAGAGCGTCTCTCAACCTTCCTAGCTGCCTCCTTACTCCTCCCTTGATTCATGCCGCAGGACAAACCGAAGGTCGTGAAAGGATGTCAGAAAAGTCTTGGTCGAGAGTGACTGTCGTGAAGGAGCCTAGCCTAGCATCCAAAAGTCGTTACGGACGTGGGGTCGTCGAGTAACTCATGTATTTCAGATGCCATCCTGGCTAGTAGATTCGGAGGTATAGATTAGTGGGGACGATACTATTGAGGGGTCGAAATCTGCTTTTCTTGAGGGTGGAAAGGTCTTTTACTTTGCTTTCGTGGGCTTTTGTTCGCCCGGCGGTGGGTAGCACATGTTGTGATATAACGAGGGCTTCTCTGACTACCGTTGTAGCGTTTGGTACCGTATTATCTCTCCTCAGTCCCAGCATCATCATCATCATCTTTGTCATCTTATGTGTTATCGGAAGCGTATCTTTGACGGAGGGGGAGATAACTCAGCTCAAAGTTGATAGGTTGTTACTCAATCTCGGCTCTGCAGACTCTACAGTGAGAGCTGGAGGTTCGTAGGGGACGCCATTGACAGTTATTGAGAATGGTCCCCCTTGTACCAAGGGAGCTTGACTGCAAATCCGCATATTTTTAATTTTATTTTATAGCTTGAACCTCTGGGGCCTAAGCCCTGCATTCAAAGGACATGACACGGGTAGTTGATGAAAGACTCCGTCCTATCTTTATGGCCAGTTCTTGGAAAGGTGTTTGTGTTGATATTGCAGTCTGAGATTACCTGACTCATGAAGCTCCTCTCCAAACTAGGCCACACTTCATACAGTGTTCCAACCTACTTTCGTTACGAAAGACCTCTGATACAATACCTATGATTGTCAGCGATTTAGCTCGGTAGTTAGCCGTAGAATTCAAATGATGAATTCTTACCGAACCAGCAATAATAAGAATCATGTTGAAATGTGATAGTAGGTCAAACATAATCATTTCTGCACCCTAGCCCAATGGAGGCGAGCTTCTGAATATTGTTCAGTTTGGAGGATATATGGTAAGGCGTTTGTTGAACTGACATACTCCAGATCAGCAGTTCCATTTCAGCGTGTAAATGAGCCTGACAGGTATACATTTGTATGAGTTATGCCGCAGTATTTTTAACCAGCGAAGAGACTGCAGAAAGATATAGACGTACTGTTTAACCCTATACTTTATCAAATCTACTTGCAGTACTCCTATGTCAGTTGCCGAGAGGAATCATAATCGAATAAAAAAAAAATATATATATATCAAGGCTCTGCGTCTTATGCCTCATTTACATCCCGTGATACATCAATTTCTATGATGACCGGATGATCTGCGCCAATCATTACTGTCATGACCCAGGTCATCTTCCCATATCTTCTTTCACCACAAAAAAACGTGAAACCTCATGCTTCTGAAGTGCTGGTAGTAATATCCAAGACCATATTCGCGGAGTTCACGAGCACCCAGAAGGCTAAAACTCCCTGAAAATAGTCCTATCCAGCATCCCCGTCGATAGTACGCATCTTTTTGTTCTATTCCACAACGACTAGTCCCCCCTCCAACCCTAAAGCTCTATCAGAACATTTTTATCACGTGAGCCAAAACCAGAGCTTGATGTTTTATGATTCAATTTCTTCCTTACGGGTTTATGCAGCACCGTAAATTTTTGGCGGAAGATGGCGGACGAATGATGGAAAAGGTTCTCATGTACAGTTGGAGCTTCCAATTAATTGGACGTTGATATGAGAGTGAGTTGTAGTACTTGTGTGAGACTAATGAGATTGATATTTTTAAGAAGTCCCTCACGGTATACAATCATGTGTCTGTCTCAATGTCGATTTGGATGCGGTTTTTCTCGGCTGTCTCAGATTTGAAGGACATACGGAACGTTGTGATAGGCACTATTTTTCGGTGAAGAGACTTTCTTTGATGGTTGTATATCTCTGTGACGGTTTAGATGTCGTAAATGAGACGTCAGAGTTGGTCTATGCACGAATTCTTGACCACGACCCGCCCGAAGGCACCAAGACTTTCGTCTGCTTCTCTGCATAGAGAGTGAGTGGAAATTATAACATTGCGTGATGAAATGTGACTACATTTTGTAAATTTGATTTCATGGTCCTGATTTTGCGCCTCATGAGCCCATGCAGGTGTCTATGAACCTTTCTAATTTACATAGGAGGAAACCTTGCAGTGAAATACCCCTTAGCTGTCAGATTGCACTCTACGCCCTTACAGTCTTACCACTAGGAAGTGCACTCACAATATTGTGCCAGTGTGGATTCCGTCCTTGTCCTGTGTTTCCATTTTCCTCTCTTCGCCCGACTAACGCCTCAATTTCTCCGGCTATCCGAAACTGCTCTAATCGTCTTTCCTTTTGAATCTACTGGTCAATTCTATTCAAATCTTTAGCATTATTTACCGTAGCTTCGAAAGATAGGGTTGTCGGATTTCGTAGCAATTCATCTCTTCCCTTTGCCCATCTTGCACAAGACATCACTATATGCTTTATTTTTTGGGACGGATATCCAAATTAGCAGCATAGTTTTCCTACTCCTGGTACATTTCTTCGGTATAAGCAAGCATTGAGCCCAATGTGCTCGCTTCTTGCTTGTGTGGCAATGCTGCTCTGGGCCCTGTTAAGGTTTTGGTGGATTTGGATAGGTGACTCTCTATAGTTTATCATAAGTCTACATTTTTTCTTGTCGTTTTACAAATCTGCAGCATCCATTTATCCTCATTAGCTTGCGCTCGAGGATCCTAGCGCGGTTCCTTCTGGCTCATCCTGGATTCTGACCATGCCTTGAACGCGGCGTTCTTCCCGGCTACTTTCTATCCTGTTTAAGACTCAATATTGCTGCAGATTGGGGTCCATAACGCTATATCATCTCTCCTATTCTCATCACGTTAATTTCATTTTTCTTCAAAGAATTTGATTTTTCTGCGTGCAGTTAAAATTGTCTGTTGGACAGATAGGATGTGACTACTTTTTTTCAGAGTAAATCAATAGATATATAGCTATCTAGCTATGTCAAATAATCTGTAGTCTGTGCATACATTGGAAGACTCTTTTGACGTTAGAGACACTCATATTGTCTAAACATATAATTCATAATGTTAAGGGTAACATGGTGGGGCTGCCTAATCGGGTATGGCGTAACGGAAAATAATCAATAAATATGTAAAAAATCTCTTCTTGGGTATAGTAGGAACAGGAATTATCTAAGAACCACCCACATCGTTGTGACAAGCTTCTGATTAAATTATTCCGTAGGAGTATTCCGACACATACTTTGGATTTCATTTGTAGATACAACTATGAGGTATGCTTGCTTACACAAACACACAACCCCCCGCGTAAGTGCCCACCAAAGAGAATTTCCAAAACCTTTGATTATCCAAGCATGCCTTCGTCATCCATACATACAAGCGCCGCGAGAAAAGTGGTTGTGTTTTGCCGGATTCGAACCAGCGATCGCCTGTCTCAAATGGAATATGTGTCCAAGCTATCTACACTCTATTTGGAGGACTGACCCAGATGATATACCACCGCAACATCCATCCATGGCAGTGTTTATAGTGTCACCTACACACTCACGGACGAAGTTTTCAATCGCACGATTCCCTTCAATATGGAAATCTCCTTCCGGCAAAATCTGTCCAGCTAGGTTTGCGCAACATAATTCTTGTCTTCCAGCGAGTATTCATATGGTCGTGGACAAGTATTTGGAGAGCATCTGAGGCCAGACATTGAGTGAACGAGGGGTGTGATCATTAAATTAAAGATGTATGGGGTGGTATTTGTATTTTTGATGTAGCTTAGGTCGGAATACATCTTCTTGGGAGTAAAAAGATGATTTGGTCTAGAGCCTTGAACCATTGCCCCGCTGGCCATCTCCTTCGGTAATGCGAAATTTAATTCAACTCTTCTTCCAAAAACTTTTTCACTCCTAAATTCGTAGATGGCAGGACTGACAGGAGTTCAGTCTTCGTCCTCGTGGGCTGCGCAAGTTGATACCACCGTCCAATTTTACCAGGGAGGACGTACAAGCCTTTCTCTGTCGCAAATGTCTTCTCGATCGCGAGATCAAAGGTTATCCTAGGATATGGTGCCAGCATCTCTGCTTTCACAAAAGAGCCGTGTGTAAGTAGTCGAGCTTTGCTCGATCCGAAAGAGTAATCTTCTGGTTTGAAGGGGCTAGGTAACTAGGTTACCCGGTACGGCTGTGGAGCCAAGTTCGGATTGAAGACCTCGAAACCAATTGGCTCTAAGGCTAATGCATTATTGATTGGATATTTTGTCACTAACTTCGTCCATTTCAGCATATGATTGTGTGGGATATGCGGGATATTTCTGCCTGCATATTAAAAGTTGTGGAGGTTGAACGCGTTTCCTATGCTACCTATTTCTTGTAAACTTAGAACACCAAATACGAGCATCGCATGACCTAAAAATGAGTGATCGTCCGGTGATTAAGCTTTTTGACATAACCGCGATGAGAGGACGGTGGTAGATGATGGTGGGGTGCGTCGTCAATTCGGAAAAGAGACGCACTTACCAACAAAAATAGCAAAAGGGACAAAACTAAGCGCCTGTCGGCAGTTGCCCCTACGAACCACTTGTTGCTACAGTAGAGTCTACAGAGCTAGCATCGAGTCACACCTTTTCAACTGTGAGCTGAGTAATCTTCCCTCTTACCTGAAATATCAGCTTCCGACAAGTCTCATGACGATTACGACGATAATAATGAAGCCGCCGGCCGGCAAAGACGAATTCTTCACCTTCCAGTGGTGCCGGTGTAATCGCTCAGAATTCGGCATATCTGGGATAGCCAAGAAGAATCGCATCCGAATCGAAGTCGAAAGCTACCTCATACACATCTCCATTTGACAACTTCTCGACAATGCCTCTCTCATCATTATCATCTGAGTTCTCAACCCATCTCTAACCACGCATCATCTCGCCTCAACGACCAATAAAGAAGTTGCTCCAATTGCATACAGGAGCTTGCCCCATTAATCTCCAGCCATCACTCACTACATATTTACGACGCTAATAATACCCGCAAGGAGGAAATCAAGTCGAAAAATACAAAGCCTGGGTCATGGCTTATGGGGGACTGATGCTCTAATGGGACAAACAACTTGAGGAGGAACATGCGGCTGAGATTTGGAGCGAGAGGGGAAAGAGGTCTCTGAAGAGCATTCTGGGACCGATACTTTCGAGGACTTTTCAACTTTGGATTTTTTGTGGACGCCAAGACCGAGATTTCGGCTAATTAGCCAAGGGACTTCAATTGTCGATGAGTGATCGGCACTCCCCAGCGCCCTGGAAGGTACAAAAGAAGTTGGGCTAAGCTGCCATACAGAAATCACGCTCTGTCAAGACTTTTCTGACATTTCACCACGACCTTTGGGAAGGAGTTGGAAGATGGCTAGAAAGGCTGAGTGTGAATTCTCCGAGGTACCCACAAGTCTGCAGCGGCCAGCTGGCCGGCCTCTTCGAACGCTTCGGAATGGTCACTATGTCTTCGGATTTAGTCCTAATTTCGGTATTAGGAGAGCTCCGCACCCACTGGTTTTTGCGATATATCCCGGCTGCCATACACCCGCAAATAGCCATCGTTTCGTTGGCTGGAGAGGGGAGATAATGAAGGGCAAAGGGCTCCTCTAAGTGTATGATCGAAGGATGACTTGTGAGGGGCTTTAGTGTTTGAAGGAAGTTGTATGGGAAGTATAGGAGGGGATAACTTCTAGTACAGGTATCCTTGGCCTGTAGGCAGAGAGGACCTGCATGTCCTACATAGTCATAGACTCAGACAGGACAATAAAATGAATTAATAACAATAATAATAAAGCCGGCAGACGGGAAAGATAACACGGTACGATACGCGACAGCGGTAGTCCGAGAAGCCCTCGTTATATCCTAGAATTTGTTAGCCACCCTCAGGAAAATATGGTAAAAGAGCCATCGGGCCTGATGAAAAGCACATTTAAACTAGTCAACAAAATCGTCTCGTTGCATCGAATTTCCTACTTTACTAGCCAGGAAAGCACTCAATTTGCATGTGTTTCTCGATAACCTCATATCTGCAACGTCTTTTAAATGCTGGAATAGGCCAGATATTAGCAGTCACTCTCGGCAAAGGTACCTCCGATATCCTTTCACAACCTTCGGCATGTTCTGCGGCACGAAGCAGGGAGGAAGTAAGGGAGAGGCTGGGAAGGTTGGGAGTCTCAAGTGTACACAAGTATACTGTGCCCGACTGGCCAGCCCCTTCAAACATTTCAGAAGGCTAACTATGTCTATGATTCAGCTCTGATACCAGTAGGAAGAGAGCCCCGCTCCCGGTAGGTTTGTGGACTTGACTGTGCAGCTTCACACCCGCAAATTACCAATTTCGTCCGCTGGATGGGGGAAGTAAGGATGGAGTTACGGCTTTTTATGTGTGTACCAATATACAGACTTATGGGTTAATATTAGTTGAAAGTAGGTATGCGGGGAAGTAAACTAAAGAAGGGGAGGGCAAGACTAAACACCTGTACGCGGTGTCCTCTACGAACTTGGGAGTGAAATATTCTTCCAGAGCCAAGTTCAATCAAACTTCGCAATACCGAACAAGTTGGCCTACGAGGCAATGATTCAAATTACTCCACCACATCAATTTTTCATTCCCAAAAAGATTGAATCCTACCTAAGCCTCATCAAATCTACAAGTACGACCTGGTACATCCTTATTCCAATGATCACAACTCTCGTTGACTTTCTCTGGCCTCAGCCGGTCACCAAATACACTCCCACGCCTGTATTTATATTAGCAGGAGGAAACAAACCATGGCGCACAAATCTGGGAGACAACTCTTTGGGATTGACGTGAGAAGGAGGAGGACAAGTTTACAAGATTATGCAAAGGAAGGATATAACTTTGAATGGAGTGAAATTCCGAATTTTGGCAAGGATTTTCACGAATTGAGCTTTGTGCGCGCCAAGACTTCGCTTGCGAGAGTGCAGCTGGCACTATAAAAATAAGCCGACGATGGAAGGTGTTTTGATCCGCCTCCTGGTGATGTTCTCTGGTATAGATTGAGTAGCCTGGGCACCTACTCCACTTGGGAAGGAGACACCTCAGATCACATATCGCGTGGAGAAAATTTGAAAGATGATGGAGGCATGTCTGGATAACTCAGGGTTTTTGAGACGTTCCCCTGGATGGGTATTCACGGATGAGGGCTGACTTGGGGTGAATAAAAAGCCATCATAACTTCGCAGTGGTACTTTCAAATGAAATCTGAGGCATGAGTGCTCTTCCTTTACGTTGAATCATCTTTTCTGTGCTTTTCTTTGATATTGTGTCATAGCTAGATAGCTGCATACGCAATTAAAATCTGATGCAAAAAAAAAAAGCCTAGCACTCATAGAGCTTGACACGGAGAAGGCAATTAATTCTCCGTTGACTATATACGACAATTACCCGGTGCGAAATTCGGACCACTCATGTAGTGGGTGCATTCGCTGATACCACTCGAGGGCTTTGATCAAGGGACATTCACCGTCCATAACTGCAAAGCTGCTATTATTTTTTTTAATTTAATGTCCTTTCTCGGTCTACATCTATGTAGGGCATGCAGGTCCTCTCTGCTTATGGGGCAAGGATACCTATGCCAATAGTATATCCCTCCTATGCCCCCCACACGGCACCTCTCAAAGAGTACCACCCCTAACAAGTCCTCGATAATTTGAGAGTTGAAATGCTGCATGTAAATAAGCCAAGAGCTAAATCAGGCACGGAAACAAAAATTCAACACCTGTCAGTAGTGTCTAATATTGTTAAGCAAAGTTATACTAACATGAATCTCTCTCAGAGTTGATTGAATTGATTATCCTCTATCATGAGGAATCTATCTAGGTACTATATACATCTTGAGTATCCTACTAATTCCAAATATAGACTGACTATTAGATTTCCCATGCAAACTGCTCAAATCTCCGTTCCATACAGGGTTCTGAAATTGGCTATTTCATTATCATGGGCAATAGAGAAAGTGAAACAACAAGGGATTTGTGCGCATGAAATTGGCCATCCGTCTAGTCGCTAGTTGTAACATTTGCATGACTAAGTTATTGCCCTTGATGCATCAGCCCAGTTTACTTGCTTGTAAACTACTCAACTTAGACATCATGATACAATATTGAAATTTAGGGTTATCTGTCTGACAAATATGAACCTCCGGCTCTCACAGTAAAGTCAGCAGAGCCGAGATTTAGTAACAAAGTCCTCACTTCGACGAGGATTCCCAGTCTCTCTCGCGGTCTGTATCGTCTTCATCTCCAATCACATCCCCCTATCACTACTATCATGAAGGAAAAGCCATCCGATGAGTTTCCGGAGCGTACCCAGCACCCGATACGGCGATGGTGGATTGGATCAAGATGGCCTCGACTGTTACAAAGAATGGAGACATAGATGAATATGCGCACTTCATGTGGTCCCGGTGTCTAGGCCTCACCCGGCTGGGGCTGCAGGTTTTTTGAGGTTTTTTCCCGCGCTCACAGGCTCGATTGCTACAATTCTTATTTTTTGGGGGCAGGACGTTCCGTGAAAAAGGTGGCCGAATTCCACGGGTAAACGCTGAGCTGAATGGCTATTCATTAAGGGCAATATTTCAATGATCTTTCAAGAAACATGAAAGGCAAGGAGCAATGTACAAGGTGTGTCCTGGGTCAGAGAGGAGCCCAATGTGCTAGATAGTCATAGACTCAAGTAGTACAATAAATAAAACACACACACCCATTCACTTTTCTTAGTCATAGATGAGAAGCCATTTGATGGGTTTCCAAAGCCTACCCGGTACCCGATACGGCGATGGTGGATTACATCAAGTTGATCTCCCATATTACAAAGGGAGATATAAATGGGTATAGGCACCTCGTGCAACTAAGGCTACGGGTGTTTGGATAATTTTTTGCGCGCGCGGCTTTCATTGCTACCTTTTGAGAGGGTAGAAGGATCCGTAGGAAAGGTGGCTGGATTCTTCTCATGAGTACTAAGCTACATGTCAATGCATCATAGGAATTACATCAGTGATTATTTTTCGTGTCAGAAGAGCTGGAGCACTCTACGAAATGTGGCCTAATTCAGTTAGAAGCCCAATTTTCCAGATAGTCGTAGAATCGAGTAGTAAAAAAAACAAGTCAATCAATGTTTTTTTTTTTGCATCGTCAATCAATGTTGTGAGATTCATTTGGCGGCTGCCTGTTTTCCACGAACCCAAATTAGATTTATGCGATACTACGAGTTATCTGTGACTCAGTCTCGCAGGAGATCTGACTAAGGCGGACTACAGATGTCCTACAATTGTATTCTGAACCCCGAGTCTAGGGGTAGCTCTTGCTCACTGTATATTCAAAGAAGTGCCCCGCAATGGGTTGGCTAACGTATTAGCAGACGGTTATTTGGAAGCTGTGAAGTTCGATCTGTTTGCTAGATGGCCACGCTCCGCCGAGAGATGTGCAGCTTATGGACAGACAATGATGACCGAAGAAGGAATTATGTTGGCAGGGAGGATAAAGTCTAAAGGTGGTTTGCCTACCGTGCACGGGCAAGGAATTTTGACAAATGGAATCATGCCAAGTGACAGCCTCGACCTGCCCAGACGTGCGGATCTTCCTTTTATCTTAGCTTTCCTTACAATACTCATCGAGCACGTGAGAGCAGCTAGTCAAGGTTTAACCCAGACCAGAAATACAGGCTTATTTTCGTAGCCCACGACAGAAATCGCGATCGCATCACTTATTAGACGAAAAAAATGAACCCACTTTCAAGGCCATCATGGAGTTAATCGAATAGGCTGCTGCTCAAATATAGCAGCGAAATGCAATGTAGCCACGTGAGAGCAAGGAACGTTGTCACCTCACCAAAGGTAAATTAAGAAGACTGACATATATGTACCTTACCTAACGCCACACTTTTTCTCCATTGCACAGTTGCCCCACATAACTGCCCATGTCTACTTAAAGCTTGGGCCACGAACTTAATTATGCGCCCTCATAATATCACATGACTTCGTCTCATCCATTCCCATCACATGCTTGCATGGACGGTGCGCTCTCTAACGCCGTTTGACCGACTGCTCCCCCAGCAAGTCATATCTATATAATAAGTAGGTACATCTTCCCGCGCGCCACTAAGAACAACTAAAGTTCAAACAGACTACAACATATGCCTGGTTTAATACTGTCATTGATTAAACTAGTTTAACCTACATTCAGGGAGCACGAGCCGGGTTGGCCTCTATCGTCACCTTAGATGTGTGTCTAGCCTTCTATCCTCAAGCCACTGACTATTCCCATGGTCCAGACTTGATGGAATTGTCAGCATGATAGGTAAATTTTTCTCACTGCTCTCATCCGTTGCTAACTTTAGATTAGATCACGTTTTGGGAAGACCATCGGTCAAGTTCCGCAAGATTCAAGTCCTGGCAGTTGTTTCCTTTTGGTCTTTTTATCTCTTCAAGTAAGTGAAAGTGCTATACGTAAGAACTTCATTTAATCTCTGCAGAGGACCTAGACATGGTCCCCCGACCATTCGAAAGTTTTCTCGCCGTCTGAGTAAAATTTTGACACCATGGCAAATACTGGTTTTAACTTTACTTTACCTCTACACGGCACGAAATTTTGGACGGCTCATAGGCCTTGAGTGCCCTGAACCACTAGCAAATTTATATACGCCATCTTACTTTCGAGCAACATGGGTAACGACAGCTATGGATGCTGGGTTTTGGACTGCGATGAGAATAAGAAGAAAATGGCTGCGTGACTTGGCAAGTTTTGTTTTCACACTTTACTATCTCGCTGCTGCCGAGCAGGCAGACGAGAAAGTTAGAAAGGTTAGAGGAGCGCTGACGGTCGAGCACCTACGTGTCAGTTGGAACAAAGGAACAACTCCATATATCAGCTTTTTCAATAAATTGATGCGTCCACGCTTCATGAGATATCCACCAAGGCAACTTCGAATTCCTCGTCCTTCAAATAGTGATTATAAAGACCCTGTCGGGGCCTGGCTTTTCTTTGATGGACCGTTGTCAGAACTGAAAAACCATACAAAAGTGGTTATAGACATTCCAGGAGGTGGATTCATTGCCATGAATCCTCGTCATAACGATGATAAACTACTCGCGTGGGCTGGTAAAACTGGCCTACCTGTTCTCAGCTTAGACTACAAAAAAGCACCCGAGCATCCGTACCCTTACGCTCTTAACGAATGTTTTGACGTATATAGAACTATTGTGGCTACTCGTGGAAGATGTCTAGGTCTTGCTGGTAGCAGCGTCCCACAAATTATTTTGACTGGCGACAGTGCCGGTGGGAATCTTGCTACAGGCCTTACTCTAATGGCTATTCATGCGCGTCAAAATGGAGCAGATCTTCCTATACCAGACGGACTCATTCTCATCTATCCTGGCTTAGATATGAATATTGGCAATTGGATGTCTGATGAGCAGATGGCGCTCATCAAAGACCGCAGATTTCGACGGACAAATCGTGAGATCATTCGCAGAAAGAAGATGCAGTACACTTTAACGGCTGGAACACCTCATCACTCGGATGACGAGGATGCCGCATCCCCTCCACCGCGTAGTTTGTCCCCAGAACCAATTGAGAACTACAACGATATTTCTCTACCTTCGCCTCAATTTTCTAAAGTTCCTACCCCATTTCCATTTCCCAACTTATCTCGACCATCTACCGCCAATTCTCAGGCGGCTAATGGAAATCTATCTCATCATCCATCGCCCATGAAAACACGCCTCGCCATGTCTAGTATGCTTGCTTACTTTAACGACCGCATACTTTCCCCAGAAATGATGCGTGCTATGATGATCCTTTATATTGGCCCCCACAATCGACCGGATTTCGCCTCCGACTATCTGCTCTCTCCTATGCTTGCGCCCGACTCATTACTTGTCGACTTTCCAAAAACCTACATTATGACTGGTGAGAGAGACCCTCTTGTAGACGATACTGTCATATTCGCAGGTCGTCTCCGACGTGCTAGAGCCATGAAACATGCTGAAGAATTAAAGCACGGACATGCCACAGATACTGAATGGGATGATAATGATATAGTCGAAGTTCATCTTATGCCAGGAATATCCCACGGCTTCCTTCAATTCCCAGGATGTTTCCCTGAGGGTTGGAAATATATAAACCGAATCGGGAAATGGATTGAGGTAATCTTTGATCAGCAACAATCTACGGTTAATTTCTCGTCTATGAATCGCCGATGGGATGGCCATCGCTCTAGGGCAGAATCTTCTGGTGACGATACATTTTTGGAGATGAATATGACTAGAAGAGACGGTACAAGTTGGGGATTCCGAAAAGAAGAGAAGGAACGTCTTCTCTATGAAATTGGAGCTGGTCTAAGGACAGGAAGTCGAGGTAGACGGCGCAAGCAGGGTATGCACAGTCGTAAAAAGAGCATGGTAAGCCTCGCAAGCGAAGACGACCTACTCGGCCGAAGAATGTTAGGGGTGGCGGGAACGCTGACACGAGTTGGCCGTCACGAATCATGAAAGATTACTTTAACAAATCAGGGTCAACTCACTATCTTAAGTTAAACGTTCGGGTAAAAAATTCGACCTATTCTCAGAAGCGATATCTTAATGGTCATCTCTTAGTTGATGCTCATACTTTATTCGTCGTTACTGCGATTCCAATATAACTTCTAGTTTTATTACAAATCTATCGCAGTATCAATACGAGACTTTTCTTCATAGGTTTAATAATTTATAAATCCTGAATTATGTTTGAATCTTTACAGACTGCAGGATTTAATATTGAAGTCAAGACTCAAAATGTCGCGCAAATCTGCGATGAAGGATTTGAGACAACGGTTGTTGGGTCGTGGTGGAATGGTTTACCACTCAATTTTTCACGTTATACTCTGGGCCATTTCGTGACCTATGCTTTTCGAGGTTATATTTTATTTCTCCCAAAAGAGTGAGGAATGATTACAACGGCACAACTCTTCGATAGAACCAAAATCACAGTCAAATTAGGGTAGTTTGAGAATTTTAAACTAGCATCTTTGCGACGTTTCTATTTGACATCGCAATCCGGTACGTAAAGTTGCTATTAATACATAATCTTTTTCACCAAACAACCGAGGAAGGAGTTGGCCTCATTCTTTATCAAGTTGGGCGGGATACACAGGATAAGAAACAGTTAACAGTTAGTGTTAACATATTCAACCGACGAATAAGTTTAGAGCGGTAGGTTATTATTTCTAATGTTAGATTATCATACTACGTTAACGTACAGTGTGTTTTGAATAGTTATTATCCTAATGCATATCAGATAATGTTACTTTTATACGAGTATGTAATTGTATGTACTAGCATAATCGATTGTAAAACAACTTCAAAATATCACGTTTTAAATTTAGGTCTCAGCTGGTGTTTTACTATTATTTCTATGATGAGCAAGAGGTTAAGCTCTGTGGTTAATACATAGGATCTGATCCATTAATTTGAGCATCACTGCTAACTAGAGCTTTAATAGTAACGTATCTATTAGTAAAATACGCTCTCCTAGCCCACCCCAATTCCTTAGAATTAGCTAATCTGAGAGAGATATTTTGAGATGTCTGGAAAAATATAATTATGACGAGATCTGGTTACTAGCGACTACAAATATTGCGCCAAAGAAGGGTATATAAATTAAACCACATTTAAGACGGCGTTTTCTAGCGAGGTCTTTGACACATCGTGCGAGAACCAACGTACCGTGTGCTGGCACGACATCAAATTGAATAAAATCAAATTTGAACTCGAGAATCAAATATAATTTGATACGCCTTGCTAGCTTTACACTGTTTTTAAATTTTAGGTTGGTTTGATTAAATTGCTCACTGCAGGATTTTTGCGTCTGACATTACCAGGCTTACTGCATCTTTAAAGGCTGTATGGAAACAAATCAGAGCCACGTGAATTTGTAAAATGGAGGATCCTACCAGTCTTCTTCTTTCGAGAGATGCGTCGGGGATCAGGTATAATGTGGTACGTCAAAGACCTTGATGAAGAGGAGTATGACAAATAGAATCACAATCGAGTTATGAGCACCCTGCCGCAGTTTTTACAAACCATTGGTTTTTTTTCATCAGTATGACTGCGGCACATTACTTGTCACTTGCCCACTTTAGCAAGCTGAGGCTAGTGTCTAGGAAGAACAACAATGGTGAAAAGCTATGTAGTGGGTCGGTGTACACATCAAAATGTAGTGCTGAAACAGCAAGGCAGACAAGCCGGGAGTTCTCGCACCTCGATCGGGCGCATACCCCTGCGCCAAAAGCTTCAATACCCCAGACTGTCAACAGAGTGGGCGCGCCTTGGGGCAGCTAGCTATGCCAGGGACACAATAGCAGCCCCTAACTCCAAGCTGCAGCAAAAAACCGCGATGGCAAAGCGGAATCTCTTGATTAGGCTTAGGGCGTAGCGCATGACAGGCCACGCGGCGCTTCAGCTGTCCTAGGTGTCTAATAGTGGTTTGGATGTAAAGCGGATAGGGACCAATAGTATGCGTTAGACGGTGCCAAGGTTCCTCTATGAATCGTTCAACATGTACACAAAGCACTGTTTATTTTCTTGGCAATACAGATGAACGTACTAATTTATTATATATTTTTGAAAAAGATGCATTTGTAGGCTGGCGGCTATGCGCAACGCACTTCCCGGCCAAGATGAGCAAAGCGATATTTATGATGGGTGTGTTCATCGCTCAATCCCCCGCTTTTAGAGAGACTTGGCGCTGTAATCGCCGTTCACAGCCCCGCCGCTTCTGCATTTCTTTCCTTCACACCCTGCTCGCTTCCAATCTGGATAAATTTGTATAGCACCCCTCCATTACCGGCCCTTCATTTTTATTGTCATAAACTAATGAAGCATCTTCTCCTGGGCCTTGCGTGATCGCCAGTATCCCACTCTAAGTCCTCGCTTCCTACGAGAGCTTAAGTTGGTTGCCTATATCACTGAGATCTTTGCGTAGTATTCGAAGCAGAAAGCACAGTAAACATCAAAACCCAAGCACAAGCCAAGCGCAGAGCTTAGATAGGCAGTATAAAACTCGCGCGAAATATACTGCAGGTACCACCACGGATATCCACCGAAGATAACCATATTGCCATCTTGTAACAATTGTTGGGATCCAATTGATCTACAGTAGGCTGTCAACATGGTCATAGAAGAGTCTACAGAGCGTGCTAATCTGGTTCAATGCGACCTCGCCAACAATTGCTACCACATATTCCCGTCGCTTTTCCAGGATGGGTCCAAGGTATGGATGCCTATAGCTCAAAACCTAGGAAGGCAGCAGCAAATTGATTAATGTAAATTGAAGTTTCTAGCGAAATCCAGGCTATGAGAGACTACTTACGGGTTAATTTGCAATATGAAAATGATAGTTTTATGCTAGTTGATCCTGAAGGGCAAGCCGTTGTAACAGTGGCAAAATACGACCGCTTTTCCAAAATATTGGTTGAAAGCTGCTAGAAATGAGCATTTAAAGCTGCACGAGTGTTGAGGTAGGTCCGACATGGATACGCAGCGCATTGGACGACTTGCAATGATATTATTCTCCTCTGTATGCCGCCAAAGCACTTCTAACCTATAAATAGTGCCACCCTAGTCATCGTAAAAGAGTCCCAAAGCTCAGAGGACACTGAGATTTGCAGCTCAATGCTTAGACATTTCTGAATATTTACGTTCGGATATTCGAATTCACAAATCAGATTCTACTTTAATATATTTTTGAGTGATGACCTTCTGTGCATGCAACCATTTCAACACCAAAGCTACGATCAATCTGTAGTGTTGGAATGAATCATATCACGTGATTCACTGTAACAGTACATAATAATTAGCTAGTCAGAACACAATGAGATCCTCATGCTTCTTCACTACACAATCCCATAAAGGTACATTTGTCCCGTCTGACGTCGAAGTACCGCTGTCTCAACGACATAAAATTTGACTTTCAACTTTTACGTGTTAGGCAACAGGGGCTTTTCAGAAGAGCTAAAACCGAATACTTGTACTCAATTTTGTGACGGCGTCGATGTTTTGTAGTAAATCCTGAGCTAGGCTCATTTGCTGCTTTCTTTGGCGTTCCAATTGCTCCATGGCGGCATCAATCTCAAGAAGGCTCGTGTAAATGGTCGCCTGGGTTGATTGACGCCGAAGACGATGGCTAATTGTACGCAGGCATGAAGCTGCTTGATTTTACGGGTTTGGGTGCGGGGATAAATGTACTGATACGCGTGTATGGGATAAATATTCCCTTTGATAATGACGTTGATGATTTTATTAAACGTCTACGTCGATGATCATATGCCCTAGAGCATGTAATATCTATCTCGTTCAGGGCAAAGGATGCCAAAGCTAAAGCTAAAGCTTAAGCGTTAAGGACATAGCTAAGCCCAATCTAAAGATGTAAATAAAAATGTTGCGCTGCGTTTTCCGAAACTGCAGACAGGAAAAAGGATCTGCTTTGCAGCAGAATAATTTACGACTCTCCTTCTAATCCATACAAGACTAATGGTCAGATTTTCCTGCCTTTCCTAGTTTTCCTTCGGAATTTCCAAACGTAGAAGGACTAAATAGGTATAAAATATCTTTCTCATCCAGGACAAATATTTCCAAAAAACTGAGTCTGTGCCAGCCACTAAGTTTATATTTTAGCTCCTTCTAGTGTACCTGATAGGCTGATATGGAGCTGATTGATAGGCCATTTATGGGTGCAATGTCATCGACGTAGAATTTAAAAAAATAGAGAATGTACTGAAGTTTTTAGTTTTCCAAAACGACAGATTAGTTCAGCTGCTTCATGTTTAAAACGTTTGTGGTAAGCTGTAAAGTCTTAATGACCATTTCTAGCTGCCAGTATCTAACCTAGAGCTTTCCGACCTAAGAAAAGCTCGTTTGGGAGGTGTGGAGCGGTCTTATTTTTATTCGAACATAAGAGTTTGAGCTTTGAATAGTCCACCAGTTATTTCTGGCTTCCATCGAATTTGTGGAATTTTATTTCAGTAGTGAGATAAAAGAATACTTAGATGAGTGTTGGTTGGGCATAGCTGCTCTTCTTTTTGCCTTCCAGTCAGTTATTTCGTTATCTTCAATTCCTGTATGTCCAGGAACCCAGCGTATATTCATCTGCTCTTCCTGGGTGTGAAGTAGTCACATTCTCGCTTTCCAACTCTTGGCTGCTTCTAGGGAGTCCACCAAAATTGATTGTGATGACTTTGACGCTGCTGTAGGGTGCAATTTTCTTGCGACTCCCATGCTATCTGTAAATATCCATTTATTTTTTGCGAAACGAGCTGAAGGGTGTTAAATAGCAGGACGAGTTCCTAGGAGGGCAGCTTGGGCTTCTGCATCATATAGATCTCTAAATTTCCCAAGATGGAATACTTCTGAACAGACTCTTATTCCAGACCGAAATAAACCATATCCATCCCTTGAGTTGCCATCTGGGAGCTTTGATCCGTCTGAATAAATTTGGATGTCGCTACCCGGTAGGGTGCCAAGGAAGTTGCGATACTTGTTACCACTTGCGTTTATTGGTCCCGAGGAGCCACTGATTCGAAACAATGAACCTTTTTTGGTCTTCTCAATTTAACAAGGAAGATTGATCAATGGATCAAAATACTCTGAGGTTGTTATACTTCGAGATTTTGTGGAGAACCGAAACAAGGCATTTAGGAAAAGTGAGGCTTCCTCTTGCTAGCGCAGAGGATAATGAGGATCAAGCCTACGTGTACGCACAGCTGCTCTCTGGGATCTATTGTTGAGTGCTATCAAAGCAAGAAAACTTCCAAACTCCCTGATAAGAAGTATGGAAGGGGTCACACTTTTCACAAAATAGTCGTCTAAACTAGTACACAAAGTACAGATGATATGCCATTGCTCAATAGCTGTATACACATCAAATGACACAATAGACAAAGATGGTCTTATTCTCTATTATCCGTGCTTTCTTTATTACAGTTACCAGAGAGGATACTAGAGCCCTATCCTAAATCGTGTTTATAAGTTCCATCATTTCGCAATTATGTACCATCGACTACGATAACAACTTTGTGCACGGCGGGTGGTTCATCTTGTGAAAGGAACAAGAAATATCACCCATTTATGTAATTCTACTGGAACTTTTCGCGTTCTTCTCGGGAAGATCGCGCGTGTACCGATTTCGGATCTTAATAGTATAAAGCACAACGGTTATTCTGTGCATACATAGTGTGGCTAGCTGCTTCACAAAGACGATGAACTTTGTTTATATCAAGGATGTACTTATGGAGGATATTTATTATTCCGCTGATGAGCCCACATTCATTACGTAATATAATGGCTGATAAATTATCACACTCTTTGAATTTTAATACTCTGCCATTGGAATTGTCTTTGTCAGTCCGCTGCCCTCCGAAATGACTTCACGATTTTACTCTGGCTCCGTTAGAGGCACTCTAAAGTTGGGCTATCAATTTTCAACCCTTCGTTGCACCAAAAATACTGCTCAGGCAGCAGCAGCAGTATCATCAGGGCCTATCTATGAGATACCTGTATGTTTATCAGCCAAATGAAAGCCCTGTAGAGTGCTAATCCGTCTCATGGGAAATTACATTTAGGCCATCTCAGCCCATAAAAAGTTTTAAGAATATTGTTGAAACCAGTCAACAAACTCCATACATGGTGAAGACTTATTTACGGCCTCCCCCCGTCTTCACAAGAGGTGAAAAATGCCATCTTTGGGACACCGAAGGCAAAAGATATCTCGATTTTACTGCGGGCATTGCTGTCAACGCTTTAGGTCATTGTGACCCTGAAATCAGTCGAATTCTTAATGATCAGGTAAATAGACTGAATACGTATTAAAAAAGACTAACTAAATTTACAGAGTTGTACATTGATGCACACCTCTAATCTGTATCATAATGAATGGACTGGGGCGCTTTCCAGGCTTCTTGTACAGGTAACAGTTGAGGCAGGAGCTATGCATGACGCGCAATCAGTTTTCATCTGCAATTCTGGCACTGAGGCTAATGAGTCGGCTATCAAGTTCGCAAGGAAGTCGGGCAAAATTGTAGATCCATCGGGGAAGAAACATGAGATAGTATCATTTCATAATTCTTTTCATGGCCGATCAATGGGCGCACTATCAGCCACACCAAATCCCAAATACCAAGAGCCATTCTCGCCCATGATTCCAGGATTTAAATATGGGGATTTCAACGACGTGTCGGCGTTAAATGAATTAATTACTGAAAGAACATGCGGTGTTATTGTCGAACCAATACAAGGCGAGGGGGGAATTATTGTTGGAACAGATGAATTTCTCACCGCTCTTGCAGCACGATGCCGAAAAGTTGGTGCAGTCCTAATCTATGATGAAATACAATGTGGCTTATCCCGCACGGGTAAATTCTGGGCTCATGCTTCCCTTCCCAAGTCTGCACATCCGGACATAATTACTAGCGCCAAAGCCCTTGGAAATGGATTCCCTATTGGTGCTGCCATTGTCAATTGTTGTGTCAGCGAAAAAATAATGGTCGGAGATCACGGAACCACATTTGGCGGGAATCCCTTGGGATCTCGTGTTGCGCATTACGTCGTAAATCGGCTTCGCGACACAGATTTTCAGGCGAATGTATTAGTCAAGAGCGAACTTTTCGTAAATCAATTACGGTTACTTCAAAAAAAATACCCACAATTGATCACGCAGGTCAGGGGAAGAGGCTTAATTCTTGGTCTTCAGCTTTCCCAGGATCCCGCCCCAATTATTACTGCTGCTCGTGAGAAAGGACTGCTTATAATCACAGCTGGGACGAATACGATTCGTTTTGTACCTAGTTTGACTATTACCCAATCGGAAATTTTGGAAGGTCTCCAAATTTTGGAAAAAGCTATTGAGGCTACCATATCATAACAGAGATTGACCCACAAAATGGATTGCAAAGCCAATTTCTCTAGATTCACAGCCTTGTACACGAGAAATCGATCTTATGCTTCGAATTTATTCCTAAGGGTAGGGCGTTTAAAGGAAATCAAAAATCAAATTTACAGCTAACCAACATAATTTGTGGCTAATCCCAATTTTCTGCCAGGCTGAATCCGTGTTTGATCTTTGAGCTAAAATTATTAGATATTATCATGAAAAAAATCAAAGGTATATTACCTAGATAACTAAATTAATAACCTTTTCAGGCCTACGTTTATACCATCTACAAGAGATCCATCTCTCTTATTTGAAATTTTATCGTAATGACTTCAAACAGATCTTTTAAGAGACTACACACTAATTGTAGTGATATGAAACAACTCTATGCTCGCTCTTTCAACGAAATACTAGAGAACATTTGTGACCCAAATACATGTATGTAAACGTTTCGTTCAAAGAAAAAGGATAAAAACCATCATGAGATGATCCTCTTAGTATCACAGGTACGTGATATCTATTGTAGCATAAAAGTTACTGTGCACATCTTGTGTTGTGCTCTACCCTTCGAAGATCTACAGGGTTCACTATTTGATATTCTCCAAATGGCTCATACGGCTTTGTAGTCACGTGACTTAATATGCCAGCTGTTGCGGAACTTAACAATAAGCCCCATATTTGGGCAAATTACTCCCTCACACAAGTAGGTATATTTGGGCCCAAAGCAGTGTCGCCATTTAGCTAAGAAGCGAGCATATCGGACTAAATTCTTACCTGAGCAGAAGAAAAGTGCCCGGAGTAGAAAAGCCAAGCTGCCAATGTGGATATCCGTCGCAAAACGTCGAGCACATGGTGTTGGCGTATCCGCAGTGAGCAAGTGGAAGAGGCGACTTTCCCCGACCAGCTTAAGACAGGTCATCTGAAGCAATGATGAACAGCCCAGAAGATGTAGCTAGAATCACATAGTGGATACTAAGCAAAGGATGGCCAAAACAGTTTCGACTTGCAGGAGAAGTTGAGGTAGCAATGTCGGATAAAGTAAATAGATCTGGAAGGGGGGAGGACGAAATCCACACGGGCTGAACAGTGTACACTGCACTTCCTGAAGGTTAACTTAAAAATTTAATAGCACTTAAACAGGAAGTATCAGGGACCTTTCGCCAAATTGATTTCTTTGTAAATAATAAAGATAGTCACCTGCGTGGACCCACAGGGTGCCTGATCGAGTTAATTGAAATCAAATTCAAACTAGGTATATTTGTTGTTTAGTACAGCTAAGTCCTTCTATTCATAGATGTGCGACGCGAATTTTATTTGTTTGCGTGAATGTTTATCGTCTGAATCGGGTTTCATACATATAAGGCTACGGACTTGTCGTCATTCTCCCGCATTCAAGGAGGCCAGTAAATGGCAGTTACACTTTACTCATCTAATGACAGAGTGTCCAGCCAATTCACTGATGACCACCTCGTTTAGTAGACTTCATGAGCTAGTATCGCTTCCGAGGGTTATCGCAATGACTTTAACTCTTTCCTTAACCGCACATACCGGCAAAAAAAGCAGCTTAAAGACTCTCAACTTTCCCGAAATGGATTGTCTCTTCCCACCAAAAAACTGCGCGTAATACGATCGGTTCCTATTGGACACGAATACGGACGCCCTATCACGTAGAATAGGTGTCAAGGCTACCCCCGCTAATGTGAGAAACCAGCGGGATATTTGCAACGATGCACTATGCAGCCACAGATATTAGTCCTGTATGCCTTCGCTTCACTGAGGCTACTATATGCTGGCTTCCATGGCTCTTGTGAGGTACCAAAATATCTCATAAATGCTGGCTCGGAGCGAGGGGATGAGTGGATACCTTCCCAAATTTTCCCTCATTCTCCAACTTTCTTTATGATCCGATCAAAATTGCTCTATTATGATGGGAGGGAAACCAACAACACGCAAGGCGAGCTGGGGCTGAATTTCCTCGCTGATGGGGAGCCAAGGAGAGGCACTGACTATGAGGGCGATTTGACTGTGGGAGAAGAGGCTAGCGTAGTACTTGAAGGCTTGATGCACGAAGAAGAGCGCGAAGTAGAAACATCAGCTCAGCCAAGTTGCTTATGTACAAGAATATTCGCTCCTGAGATATTCCCGTAATTCTCGCCCTTACTTTCGTATTCTTCCCCTACACCCGAACCAGCGATATCGCCATCATTTGAGGTTTGCGTAATAGCTAAGCTAGCCACATCTAGGTGCTTTATTTTTGTATTCGAGACACTATGGTTAGCGAGGCTTACCCAGTACACTCAATGTACAGGGTACCAGTACACAACTTCGGCCCCAAATATCTATCAAGAAGAGGCTGGGATTATCATTAGACGAGGGGATTCGAGAGATAGACTTTGGATCTCAATGCACTCCGGATATCCTCGATGTCCCTTTGATGCCATGTCGCTTGATTGCTTCTACTTAATGGCCACAGGGGTTTATTATTTTCTTTCTCTACACAATCTCTGAAGATGATACGCTTTCTGCTGATGATGTAGTCCATATCATGGCGGATTTCTTCACAGAATGCATCAAGAGGCAGATCATTGACGTCATTCCCAAATGGATTCTCAAGTTCATTTCCAATGGCCGCGAGACCCATAATAATGTAAGAGGCTGCAAGAACAGCCGGCACTGTTACCCAGCCAAATCTGTTGTAAAGTTGAAAGGGCAGAAGGTAAGTGTATAGAATGACCAGTTGAGAGATGAGAATATTGTAACCAACTGGGAGTGGTGTAGCAAGGACACGATCTGCTTGTCCTGGAATGTCTTGGAGTAGCACCATTGTATTCACTGAAAAAAATCAGTAGTTTATCTTGGCAAGGGACAATAAAACATACTCATCTGAGTATATACAACTGATGTAACTAGAGATGGCCCTGGCTTATCCGTAGCGGCCTGCTGTATGAAGGCAGAGATGTGCAAGAGAACCTCCATTGGAAGATTTCCCAGTGGGGCTTCAGCTCTCTTGATGTGTTTCCTTGGATTGCTTGCGGTAAAGCTCAAGGACAAAAACCGGCCGATTTTCTTGAAAATTGAAATATCTTTGTAAACATACTGATCCCTGGTAGCCTCTTTCGCATATGTATCAAGATGTCCTACTATTGATGACATATCATCATAGTTTGTAAAAGGCTGAAATCGTAACCGATGCTTGATTGCTACCGCATAAGCATGAATTAGATTTATAGCGCTAACCTTAGACAGCAGGTCTGAGGTTTCACAGTCTGGCTCATCTTCGGTATTTTCACGTTCAGGAATATGGATCCATATGAGGCGAGCAAGGGTTCGGCTGTGCACCGCGAGCGAGCTCCACAAACGACGACCTTCGGAGTAACGTTCGTAGGCTGAGCTACTCCGAAAAGAAAGCGATAAACTGACGACAATTCCAAGAACAGTTATGAGAATAGGTTCGACAGCCACTGAAGATTATTTAGCAAGTGGCAGGTTGGGAAGAAGAATGTTGTTAGAAAGTGGCTCACGTGATATATAATGATTAGAAATGTAGGTTATAAGAGATGACCACAGGCCAACGAAAGTGAGTGGAACAATCAAATGGGGCATGATAGATCCATGGATACGAAGAAACATGGGTACTTTTGAGTGCGAATCTAAGTTTCTGGGACCAGTCTACGCATGCTATCAGCTAATATTCTAGGGATAAGGTAGCCTTGGGACGAACAAAATATTTTGCCGCGTAGTCATTTTGATGAGATGATACTGTATGGAGGGTATTTTCATCACTTGACATTTTCCTAGGGAATTCTTCGACGTCAGGGCTGTTCTTAGTTTTCCATGAAGTCGGTCTTTGCCGACTTGCATTTGTGAGATTTTCAGTAGAGGAATTGGCATTATCCATTTATTGGTGAGGAGGAATATCAACTCCTAAGCTTATGTTAACGAATGGTGTGGTTTTGAAAGTCGCAAAAATTCAAAGTTAAACGATTGTAGTTGCTAGATGAACAGAATGAAAATACGGCTTTTCTATCGAAGGGTTCTGAGTCTTATGTTTTCTAGCAAAGGAGTTGTCCGTTTTAGATTTATGCTAGGGTGAAATTACTTTCGAATTATGCTAAAACTTAAGATCAAGATAGAATTGGAATCGAAACAACCGTTGCCTCAGCATCGTTCGTATATTTTAACATCTCGGTAGGCACTATCTAATCAGTGATGGAACGAGTTATGAATAGTTAACCAGTGATATTTTGTCCATGGACTCGTGTTCTGACTAATTTGAGTCCAGGTTTTGTTTAACTTGACAGCCAGAGTTCACTATTCGCATGCTTAGCACTGTCTGTAACGTCCCCCATGGTCTGAACTTCTCACTGCGCCACGTATCTATGTCAAGTTCATGACTCTTTGTCCATATTAATGCAAACGTAACTAAATCTTATTACGAATAATCCAAGTAAATGCGATATTTATGTGCTTGTTTGAGAAAGGCACACATATGCATTATTTTTCACATCTGCCACCCTTTTATACAATTCCACTATTTGATTGACTCTTTAAATTAGCAGCAGCTAAAATAAAAAGCTCTGCTCTACGATTGTATTCGACGAATGTTCGCTTTTGCTTATTAATTCCGAGCCACGATAAAATTATGCGCAATATTTCTCTAAAATTTGATCCTTATCCGACTCTTGACAAAATGCGTTTTGATAATCTTTTCCTTTTCTAATCGCTCTATTAGAATAGACTTAGCCTTTGCTGACGATCCTAGTCAGTTGATGTGGCCTTATCTACTGGAGTAAATGTTTCAAGCTCATCTCATCAAGGTTTTGCTTGACTCTTTCCTGAGATCTCCTACGTAATTTTCACTTCATTCCCAAGATATAGATACACCCCTGAAGGAGAATTGTCATCGTTCATGATTTGTAATTTGTAATATTGATTGACCTTTAGCTTCATCTCTGTCTAGTATTATTTAATAATATGCCAGCTCAAGTCGTTCGCGCAAGGATAGCTGAGGTCCACCTAGAGAAGAAAAAATCATTTGCAATGGTCTTTTACACGTTCCCATACCAAGCGGTAGTCCAAGAATCATCTCTTAAATCTCAAGCTGAAGTTAATTGTACATACATAAGGCTTCGATCAAAAAGTGAATTATGATGTATGTGCACACGTATCGGGCTAATTGTGACAGTTAGTTACGCAAATGAGGAGAAAACCGTATTTTAAAGTACCATGGTGTACTCGTAATTACCGTTCTCTATTATTGATCATTTTTTCGTTCTTGAATTCTTGACGACACACTAGACATAAGCACAAATACACTTCTCGGTTATACATGGATGCATAATTCCTGATTACCTGACAAAGGCTCAGCAACTGTAGACCCACCTTAGGTTCTAGTGTATCGTAAACGGATTGTTTTAAATGATTGTTAGAGAGGCTTCTCATCCCTGTGTAAATGTGGTCCTTTGAGTTATCGATGGCGAATCGGAAAATCGATCAACAGGATTCCGACCTGTATCGGACTATTGTGGGTAAGAAGCAGAAGGGGAAAGAAAATACCGGTAGTTCGGGTCATCTACTGGACATATCCAGAATCAAGTTCCGTTGTGTGTGGGGCGTAAGTCTGCGTGGAATTAGAAATTCAGTCAAATGATCCTTCGAACAAATGGGTTACGACGAAGAGTCGCACGAGAACGGTCCGAGGAAGGCCACATTCTCAAAGAGATCGGAATCAACTGGCGGTTACTAAAATCCACATCATAGCGAGTAAGACTTGGAAGTCGGCAGGATGGGCCTGCTGGAATGGTTTCAAGTATCTGTCGCAAAAAGTTGCGAGAGTAAAAGCTTTGGAATGGAAACTGCATCAGTAAGCCTTTCTCTAGGAAGATAGCGGTTGAACCAAGTACTGAGAGGCCGTGCCACTACAGGAGGATCGAGGATTGCAGGCGACACTATAAGCACTGCCATGATCAGATGGTGCAGTGGTATATCATCTGGACGGTCTACTAAGTAGAGTCTGGATAGCGCTCGTTCGAAATTCCCCGCCACTTCAATTTTTAACTCCGACAAAACTCGTTTCCGGCCAAAGCATCATACAGTTTACACGTACCACCTGGTACATTTTCGTTTCAATAATCATCCCCCTCTACGAATCATTTTCTAACCTCAAAAAATTTACACATGTAGTCCCTCGAGAATTTGAGTGTCCGCAGGAGGAATCAATTAGTTGCGCGCAAATCTGGGAGTTAAATCTTCATGAAGGATGTCAGAGAGATTAGAATATATGGCCAGGGCAATGCTAAAGATAGATTCAACTGCTAAAGACGATGAAGTTTTATTTTGGAAGAGGCTGAACAGATTGAAGAGCATTGTATGCAACACGACCTCGTTTGCGAGAAACCATGTGATGCAATGGGTATGGCAACGGCTGGATGGTTTAATGGTACATCATCCGAGCATTCTCCTAATTAGTGTCTGGATAGCTTGTAAAGCCATCTTACTTGAGACAGTAGATCCCTATATCAAGCCCAGCGTATCTGTTGCAAAATTATCGCAATGCTCGTGTGAATACATGACGAAGGCACGCTTGACTAACCAAAGTTTTCGAAACCTCCCTTTTTTGGGCACTTGGTGACATACCTCACAGTAGCATTTGAAAATATAATCCAGAGTATTAGTATCTCTACTGTCAAAAGAATCATAAAAATTGAACACAAAGCACTGAATACCTCTAATAGCTTGATAGCTTAGTACCACCAAAGTGACGGTAATGAGACAGTGGTCACGAAAATGAAAAGAATGAGAAAGTATTTAATTTTTGTCCCTACTAAATCCATGGCTATGAAATATACCCTAAAGCTATCAAAAGCCCTCAGGTCTTTAGATTTGGCTACATGAAATTTTCAATGGATAATTGACACGAATGAAGCAAGAGTTTTCTAGACCAGAAGCCCCAGGGGGCTTTTATTATCACATAAAGCAAATTCTTAGGGCTTTAGTTGAATACAGAGTTTCAAACTGCTGGCTGTTGGATGACGGTGCCATTAAAGGCATCACCAATCGCTATTAAATCTTAAAGCTTCACCGATTCCTAATCCGGCCTGGAAATGAAATTGCGTCAGCGACTTCGTCATAGAAGTTGGAGTAAATGATATCGAAAGATTTCTCGTATTATCCCAGCTGGCAGTATATAAAAACCTTGGACCTCATCAAATTTGGCCAGAAGGCCCTAAAGAAATCGTTCCATCTTTCTCGAGGCATATCGAAAAAAGTAAGATCTTTAAAGCAGAAATTAATGGGAAATGAAGATTACAACATCCCCCAAGATGACAATCCGCGGCTAGTTTGGCCTAGAGCATATAGTAGTCTTCAGCATGCCATCTGATAGCCGCACAAAAGTTAACAGATGGTAACTCTTGACACTTCACTAAGTGTGAACAAAAAGATATCAATAATGCTGCGTAGTCTTAATGAAGTTAAAAATCTTTGTGATTCGATAAAAAAGTCAGACTTTGTGATGTTTAAGTCCACCGAAAAACAGCGATTTGATCCACATATCAGTGGTAGTGAGCTCTTTCATGGGAGGGCGAGACTGAACACCTGTACGCGGTATCCTCTACGAACCTGGGAGTGAAATATTCTCCCAGAGCCAAGTTCAGTCAAATTTCGCAGTACCGAACAAGTTGGCCTACGAGGCATTGATTCAAAATACTCCACCACATCAATTTTTCATTCCCAAAAAGATTGAATCCTACCTAAGCCTCATCAAGTCTACAAGTACGACCTGGTACATCCTTATTCCAATGATCACAACTCTCGTTGAATTTCTCTGGCCTCAGCTCGTCACTAAATACACGCCCACGCCGATATTTGTACCCGACGGAGGAAGCAAAGCGTGGCGCACAAATCTGGAAGACAACTCTTTGGGATGGACGTGAGAGGGACTAGGACAAGTTTACAAGATGATTTAAAGGAAGGGTATTACCTCGAAGGGCGTGAAATTCCGATTTTGGCAAGGAGTTTTACGAATTGAGTTTTGTGCGTGTCAAGTCTTCGGTTGCGAGAGTGCAGGCGATACTATAAATATCGCCATGGCTGGATGGTGCGATGGTACGTCGTCTTGGCCGGTCTGCCAAGTATAGTCTGGATAGCTTGGACACATATCCCACTCGAGGCAATAGATCGCTGGTTCGAATCCGGCAAAACACAACCACTCTTCTCGCGGCGCTGGTATGCATGGATGACGAAGGCATGCTTGGATAGCCAAAGGTCTTGAAACGTCCCTTTGGTGGGTACTTACGCAGGAGGATCGACTGTTTGTGTAAGCAAGCTTACCTCATAGTGGTATTTGCAAATGAAATATAGAGCATGAGTGTCTCTAACGTCAAAAGAGTCATCCCACATGTATACATAGCATCGGTCATGTGTCATAGCTCTATAGCTGAATATACATTAAATGATTTTAAAAAAAAGATGTCTTTTATAAAATGGCGAGCCACCTTGGTGCATCATTACAACTAGCCCAATCATCACCATATGAACTTATGGTTTGTGGATTGATTAAAGCGAACTTATGGTTATATATCCTGATAAACCTATAAGTTCGTGCCTGAGTAACCGTAAATGGAAGTGGCGTTCATTCACATCGAATTGATTTTTAAAGAAATAAAAATCGAGTATGGACCTCGACAATTACAAAACTACGAGTCTAGCCAAAATCTATTCTTGGGTCAAAGTGGTTGAATTTAATGACACAAAATAAAAAATAGTAAAGTCAGGTACGTTGAGATATCCAATGATATAAGGTGCACTCAAGACAGCAAAGACGAATTCTTCAACTTTCAGCCCTGTCAATGTAGAGAATTTATAAGCTCTGCATGTCTGGCATAGCCAGGGAGTATC